AAATCATTTTATTAGTTTTTTTTTTATGTCATTTTCCCCTTAACTCAACCTCATCAAGTAACCAACCACGTCCATGCAATTTCAAAACTCAGCATATTCTTTGTGTGTTCTACATTCGTAACGAACACGACTGGTGGGTATATACTATAATTTACATAACTCGTGTAGAAATAGAATGAAGTCAACAATGTAAACATCATTCTCGGTATCTTCCTGTGTTCCACATTGAATTGTAAAAACCTCCTCGTGTGTGTGTGTGTGTATATATATATATACCTCTTAGGATCCTCGGATATAGGCAACAAGGCCTAACAGTAACCAAATTTACCTATTCTTCCTTGCAAGATGGGGAAGAAATCGAGTCAATCTTCCATGAAAATATCCAAAAATGACAAGAAACGACAACATATTATCAACAATTTCATCAAGAATTTACGTCCCAAAGTTTACATCATAGATTCTTCAAACTTCAAGAATCTTGTTCAAGAACTCACTGGAAATGGAAATGGAAATGGAAATGGAAATTCTCCGATCATGGTCTCATCTCCACCTCCTCCTCATGCATCTACATCCCCGCCTGTAGAGGAAGTTAGGGCAATTATAGATATCGAAGATCATGCATATCAAGAAAATAGCCTCGACATTTCATTTGATTCATCAACATGTTTTAGTACGCCATCAGAAAGCCCTGATCTACAATACCGGGTGCCAGAACCTATGAATTATTTATTAGAAAATTCACAGAATATCGATTTTCCATCACAGTATGGGGCTATAGAATCACTGCTATTTGAGATGGATCAAATTTCTAATTACACTACTGATGATCCATGCTATGCAATGATTCAGCAAGAGGTTCACATCTTTGATTACGATTTCTCTGGCTTGATATGATATATATATATATTTTTTAGTAAAAATCATTGGCTATCTGCGTATAGGTTTAGAATGATGTACATTTCTGTACAAACTGAGAAAACTACAGTATATTATTATTGTTGTCTACTTTACATGCATAGAATAAAATTTCTAAAAGATGACTAGCTAAAACAGAATGACAATTGCAAACAATAAGAATAAAATGCATAAACAAGAGCAAAATTCAGAATAAGGATGATCGAGGCGAGAACTAGACTCTCTGTCCTTAAGAATTTTTTACCACGTCACACGGTGCTTACGGTATGTGGTAAAGCGTCTCCCAATATACAGCGATCAGACACTTGCAGAAGTAGCACTTTGACTGCATGACAA